TTCTGAGGAAGGGACACCGGACCCGAAACGTTAACTCTGTTTTTTCCTTCACAGATGCTGCCAGACCTGCTGAGCTATTCCAGCAACTTTGTTTTTGTTCCTGATTTACAGCACCCGCAGTTCTTTCGGTTTGTATCCAAAAAGGGGTCTGGACAGTAGATAGACAGCAACGTTCACTGGTGGTGGAAAGATCGAGAACCATAGATGACATGAGGCTGGACGCGGGGTCTTGGAAGCGCATAGGGAGTGGGATTTAGGCTGGTGTGTGGAGACGGATTTGTAGAGTGGGTGAGAGTTGATGGAGGCTGAGGAAAGGATATGAGGACAGAGTGAGGCTCGAGGGTAAGGCGTGGGCAGATAGAACTTAATCTTGAGATCACGCAGTTAAATGGATCTTGGAGGTCAGCCATTTCTGCAGACAAGACGAAGCACTTGACCGAGGGAAATCTGTTCACCTTCCTCATGGTGGACGGGCTGTTAGTGTAGTGGTATTCTCCCCAGGCTAACTAGACACAGAGACCCAGTAATGTTCTGGGCATCCAGGTTCAAATCCCACTATGTAGTCTACTTGGACTTCAGCAAGGCTTTGGTAAGGTCCTGCATGGGGCACTCATAGTGAAGGTGACAGCCCGTGGGATCCACAGAAAGTTGGGTAGTTGGATCCCGAATTGGCTGAGCAATGAAAGAGGAGTGATTGTGACTTTAAGCCTGCGTCCAATGGGATTCTGCAGGGATCAGTGTTGGGACCCCCTTGCTGTTTGTGGTTTGTATTTAGACTTGAATATATGGGGGGTTGATCAGTAAGTTTGCAGATGGTGGGGTAGTAAGCAATGAAGAGCATAGCCTTCAACTACAGGAGGATATAGACTGGTGGTCAGTGGCAAATAGAATTCGACCTGGATAAATGTGAGGTGGTGCACTTGGATGGGACAAACCAGGCAAGGGAATACTGGATGGGCAGTAGAATGTCGGGAAGCACCAAGGATCACAGGGATCTTGCTGTGCATGTACCCTGGTCCCTTAAGGTAGTGGGACGGGGGGTTAGAGTGGTTCAGAAGGATTATTGGATACATGCCTTTATTAACCAAGGTATAAGTTTATGAGCAGGGAGGTTTGGCTGGGAACTGTGAATAAAATGCCAGTTAAGCCACACAGCGAGGGTATTGTGTACAGGTCTGGAATCCACCTTATAGGAGAGATGTGATAGCACTGGGAGAGGGGGCAGAGGGAGATTTACCAGGCTGTTACCTTATGGGGGCTGGAGAGTATCAGTTGTTGAAGAGAGATTGGACAGACTGGGGTTGTTTTCCTTAGAGCAGAGGAGATTGACAGGGGTGGTGGGATTGAGAGGGAGGCATGATTGAGATGGATAAATCTGCATGGATTGATAATTGGCTTGTCCGTAGAAGGCAGACGGTAGTGGTGGAAGAGTGATTCTCAGTCTGCGATTAGTGGTATTCCACAGGGATCTCTACTAGGATCTCTGCTGTTTGTGATAAATTGTGATAAATGACTTGGATGAAAATGTAGATGTGAGGGCTTAGTAAGTTTGCAGACAATACAAAGATTGGTAGATTGGTACAGTTGTGGATAGTATAGAAGGTTGTCAAAGGATACAATGGGCAGATCAGTTGCAGATATCTGCGGAGAAATGACAGATGGAGTTTAATCCGGGTAAGTGTGAGGTGCTGCAATTTGGGAGATCAAATGTTAAGGCAAAGTATACAGTTAATGGCAGGACCCTGAACAGCTTTGATGTACAGAGGATCAAGTCCATAGCTCCCTGAAAGTGGCCATGCAAGTAAATAGAGTGGTAAAGAAGGTGTATGGCATGCTTGCCTTTATTGGTCAGGGAATTGCGTACAAGAGTCAGGGTGTCATGTTGCAGCTTTATAAGACTTTGGTTCAGCCGCACTCAGAGTAATGTGTTCAATTCTGGCCGCCACATTACATGAAGGATGTGGAGGCTTTGGAGAGGGTGCAGAAGAGGTTACCAGGATGCTGCCTGGATTAGAGGGGAGAGGCTAGAACAAATCCAGTTATTTTCTCTGGAGCGGAGGAGGCTGAGGGGAGACTTGATAGAAGTCTATAAAATTATGTGATGCATAGATGGGTTTGACAGTCAGAATCTTTTTCCCAGAGTTCAAATGTCTAAAACTAGTGGGCATGCACTTAAAGGTGAGGGGCAAAGTTCAAAGGAGATGTGAGGGTTTTTTTACACAGAGTGGTAGGAGTCTGGAATGCGTTGCCAGGGATGGTGGTGGAGACAGATACGATAGGGGTGTTTAAGGGGCTTTTAGATAAACACATGAATAGGCAAGAAATAGAGGGACATGGACCAAGGGCAGGCAGAAAGGATTAGTTTAATTTGGTGTCATGTTTGGCACAACATTGTGGGCCGAAGGGCCTGTTCCTGCGCTGGACAGTTCTATGTTCTAAAATGATGAGGGGTAGACAGGAAGGAACTTTTCCCCATGATGAAGGGATCAATGACTTGGAATGGAGGGGCATAGATTTAAGGGAAGGCGCAGGAGGTTTAGAGGGGGACGGGAGGAAAAATGTTTTCCCCCAGAGGCTGGTGGGGAATCTGGAACTCACTGCCTGTAAGGGTGGGAGAGGCAGAAACCCTCATCCCATTGAAGAAGGATTTAGGTGGGCACTCGCCATGCCAAGGCTGTGGGCCAAGTGCTGGGAAATGGGCATTAGTAGCACCAGTACTGACAGAGCTGATCGAGTCCTGAAGGATATTAATGATGGACTGGATCTGTGGCAGGTAGTGAGGGAACCAACAAGAGAGAAAAACATATTTAACAGCATTCTTACCAACTTGCCTGTGGCAGATACATCGGTCTGTGACAGTACTGGGAAGAGGGACCATCGCCCAGTCCTTGTGATTTGAGTTTTTTGTGAATGGTGGATATACTGCTTGTTCTTCACAGATGGACAGTTGGATAGATTATTGTCTGTCCTCCGATCAGTGTTGAAATGGGCAGATTTCATCATTTTGCTTTGTTTGCCTTCAGGGCTCCCCTCCTGAGCAAGTGTCTGCAGCACTGCAGGCTGTTCCGGATGGTGAGAAGTTTGCCAAGTACTGGATCTGTCAAGCCCGCCTGCTGGAAATCACTGGCCCAATGGAGGCTGTCATAGCTCTGTTTGAGCAGGCAGTTCACAATGGGGCAGAGGTAAGTGACTAAAGATGATTCAGCAGGCCAGGCTCTTGAAATTTAATTTTATCATTTGCCTGTACTTTTAGAAATGCCTGTGACTTCAGATTGTACATGTGGTCATTCGAAAGAATGCTGACTAAAACACAATTAGTGGTCCTGAGTTTGTGGCACCTTGCCCCTGTTCACCCTCCGAATCCCACTGTCTCTTCTGCATTTTGTGCAGGTGTGCCTTAAGATAGCAATCCTGAGGTTACAATTTGCTAGTCACTGCTCTGCCAAGCTGTGGCCTTTGTACCCACACCTCTCCCACAAAATGCCTGAGCTAGCCATGTGTGAAGTCAGCTGATTCGGTAAGCACGTCTACTTTTCCAGTCACATACAGGCACAATAAAAGTTAAAGATTGTTCACTGACTTATAACTGAGTGACAATTACTGTTGAAAACCAAGCTGACCCTGAAAAAGCAAATTTTCCCTTGTGGAACTTTGGTAAATGTTGCAGGTGGAGGCTGAGAAAATAGCTTTTCCTCGCACGTTTTGCAGAATGAATCTGCTCACAGATACTTCAAGCAACAGATTTCCACTGTTGCTGATTCATCACCACCTTTTATTGTTAAAATTCACCACCTTTCAGGTTCCATCAGTTACATTGCCAAAACAAATTCTGCTAACTATTTCAGCCTGTTGAAGAGTTGCGATCTGCACTTGTCGAAACCCTCGTGAAGAATGCAAACACTCGACCAGCTTGTGCAGGTAAATCCACAGCAATAAAACCGCACTTCAAACCAAAAGAATTACTGTCTGTTTTTAGCAGTGGGCCACTTCTTCAAAGAAAGCGATTTTAGAAATATTGTCCTTCTCTTTTTAGAAATTGCCGTGGGGTCGTGGCATAGAGGCACATCTAAAATATGGAGTTTGAATTTCTGCTGTCCAGGGAGGTGTAAGCCAGTATTCCATTCTGAATAATGGTGAGGGAGGTGGTTTCTCTGGGATATTCAACACAGGCTGGACTATGCCGTTTTTAAGGAGGTCAGTAAAGAAGATAGGTGATTCTGTGGCCACACACGTGGCAATAGGCTGGTACACTGCTTCTTCAATGCCAAGTCGCCTGGGCATCTGCAAAGCAGTCTGAAGTGGAGAGGATAACTGGCCAGTGAGCATAGGCTATGTCAGTATCAATGGCTAGAAAGTGCTTGAATGCAGTTGTTTAGGAATCCATGGAAGAAATAGGAGCTTAGTGCAGTTGGATGTGTGGCTGTAGCTGTGGTGCTGGATACAGCTTCTGGTCAGGATGGGGGTGTTGGGGGAGGAGAGTGAGCGAGACGGACAGAGAAACTGCACAAGACTGCTGGAAGGATTGGGTCAGTATCAATGTTCTGGCAGCTAAGTAGATAAAATCATTGTAAGTAAAAGATGTGGCCAGGGGACAAACCAAACTGAAAGAGTTTGACATGAGCAAACAAGTCTGCAGGTTAAAATTGGAGGTCAGTAAACATGGTGATTTAAAAAGACCAAGCAACTCAAGACTAGGTATCCACGAGACGCTGTGGGCCATCAACAGCAGCAGAGTTGTACTCCAGCACAATCTGTAATCTCATGGCCCGGCATATCCCCCACTCAACCATTACCATCAAGCCAGGGGATCAACCCTGGTTCAATGAAGAGTGCAGGAGCAGTACCATGCATACTCAAAGATGAGGTATCAACCTGGTGAAGCCACCAAACAACACTACTTGCACAGCAAACAGCATAAACAGCAAGTGACAGACAGAGCTAAGCGATCCCACAAACAGTGGATCAGATCTAAGCTCTGCAGTCCTGCCACATCCAGTTGTGAATGGTGGTGGACAAATAAATAACTCACTGGAGGAGTAGGCTCCACAAATATCCCCATCCTCAATGATGGAAGAGCCCAGCACATCACTGCAAAACATAAGGCTGAAGCAACAATCTTCAGCCAGAAGTGCCGAGTGGATAATCCATCTCGGTCTGCTCCAGTGGTCCCCAGCATTACAGATACCAGTCTTCAGCCAATTCGATTTGCTCTACGTGACCTTAAGAAACATTTGGAGACACTGGATACCGCAAAGGCTGCAGGCCCTGACAACATTCTGCCAATAGTACTGAAGACTTGTGCCCCAGAACTTGCCGCGCCCCCACCCCCACCCCCCCCCCGCCCCACCCCCACCCCCCCCACCCCAGCCAAGCTGTTCCAGTACAGTTACAGCACTGGTTTCTATCCGACAAAGTGGGATATGTCCTGTACATGAAAAGCAGGACAAATCCAACCCGCCAATTACTGCCCCATCAGTCTCCTCTCGACCATCAGTAAAGTGATGGAAGGTGTCACTAACAGAGCTATCAAGCAGCACCTACTCAGCAATAACCTGCTCAGTGACGCCCAGTTTGGGTTCCGCCAGGGCCACTCAGCTCCTGACCTCATTACAGCCTTGGCTCAAACATGGACAAAAGTGTTGAATTCCAGAGGTGAGGTGAGAGTGACAGCCCTTGACATACAGTCTGCATTTGACTGAGTGTGGCATTATGGAGCCCTAGCAAAACTGGAATCAATGGGTATCAGGGGGCAAACTCCCTAGTGGTTAGAGTCATACCGGGTACAGAGGAAGATGGTTGTGGTTGTTGGAGGTCAGTCATCTCAGCTCCAGCACATTTCTGCAGGAGTTCCTCAGCGTAGTGTCCTAGGCCCAACCATCTTCAGCTGCTTCATCAATGACCTTCTCTCCATCATAAGGCCAGAAGTGGGGATGTTCACCAATAATTACACAATGTTCAGCACTATTTGCAAGTTATTCGATACAGGTACAGATGCAGTGCATGTTTAAATGCAACAAGATCCAGACAACATCCAGGCTTGGACTGACAAGTGGCAATTAACATTTGCTTCACACAAATACCAGACTATGAACATCACCGATTACAGACAACCTAACGACTGCCCAATGACATTCAATGGTGTTACCATCATTGAATCTCCCCATTATCAATATCCTGGGAGTTACCATTGACCAGAGACTCAACTGGACATACCACATAAACACAGCGGCCACAAGAGCAGGTCAGAGGCTGGGAATCCTGCAGCGAGTAACTCCCCTTCTGACTACCTAAAGCCTGTCCCAACATCGACAAGGCACAAGTCAGGAGTGTGATGGAATACTCCCCACTTGCCCTGAATGGGGGTAGCGCCAACAACACTCAAGAAGCTCGACACCATCCAGGGTCAAAGCAGGCCCCCCTCGATTGGCACCACACCCAAACATCCCACTCCCCCCACCACCGACGTTCAGTAGCAGCAGTGTGTACCATCTACAAGATGCACTGCAGCAACTCACCAAGGCTCCTTAGACAGCACCTTCCAAACCCACGACCCACTTCCATCCAGAAGGACAAGGACAGCAGATACATGGGAACACCACCCCCTGCAAGTTCACCCTCCGAGCCCCTCACCGTCCCCGACTTGGAAATATATCAGCCGTTCCTTCAGTGTCACTGGGTCAGAATCCTGGAACTCCCTCCCTGAGGGCACCGTGTGGGGGTCCTTACACATGGACTGCAGTGGTTCACCCCCACTTTCTCAAAGGGGGGCAATTTGAGGTGGGGGGGGCAATAAATGCTAGACCCAGCCAATGACACCCATATCCCTAAATGAATAAAATAAATTGTTCTTTTGAGATACTGGATTGGCTTGGTTTCTCTTTGGAGCAGACTGGCTGAGAGGAGGTTTAATTGAGTGCATAAAAATACTGAAATGTCTAGATAGAGAAGGATGTATTTCAATTAGTTAAAGGGCCAGTAACTAGGGGGCTGTAGATTTGAAGTGATTGATAGAAGGACTAAAGGGAGGTTAAGAAACATTTTTGGGTGGTAGGTCCCAGACTCTGCTGAAACCGTAATCAGGGCAGAAAGTTTCCTCATATTTAAGCAACACTTAGATTTGTACTTCAGATGTTGTAACCTGTAGGGCTACAGACCAAGAAGCTAGAAATTAGGCTTTGGGTAAGTAGCTGTTTATCATCTGGCACAGATGTGACTGGCTGGATGACCACTCTCTGTCTTGAGCAATAAATTGTTCAGGAGCTAAATCATTTTGTTTCCTATGGAACCCCTTTCTTTTCTGTATTATACACACATTTCACTGTGTTATTGCTAGACGAAGATTAGACCATCCATACAAATCAGATTCCAGCTCTGAAAGAAGTGGTAGGATAGTTAAGGTGGGTAATTTTTAAAAAGTACATAGATAAGCACTTAAAATGTCATAACATTCAAGGCTGTGAGCTAAATGCTGGGAAGCGAGATGAATGTGAATTAGTCAAGAGGTCAAACAGCCTCTTCTGTGTAACTGCCTGTATGACTATAATTCTGTAATGCAAACGCGGGCAACTTGCTAAGGTTTCCATTCGACAATCTTTTATCACCTTTCAACAGAGTTAACTTTTTGTGACTGTGTGGAGGCAAGGGCACCACAGTGAGTATTTGTAAGTGCTCTGTGGAGGAACTCTGATCCTGTTCCAAGTGGGTTTCGGTGAACTTTATTCAGAAGTCTGTAGGGGTTACAGATGGATTCAATCTAGCCTTGGTCATTTCCTTCTGCTTTGCGAAATAGCATGATGACGGTCATTCTGGAGTTTCAACATGAATAATAGGACTTGAGCAGAGGACTTGGACAGTAGTGTTGTGTCTGTCAGCAATGTAACTGGGCAACAGCTAATAAGAGAAGCAATTATTTGAACTAATAAACACCAGATGCTCAAACTGACACAATACATTTTCGCAAATAGATTCATCAGGCCTTTCTGTAGCTCTTGGTATGGTCCTGTCTATGAACAACAAATGGCCTACTCCAGCTCCTTGTTTGTTCACTCAAATAACGCATTGCATGTATCCAGCGCATATCTCGAGTTTGTCTGAACAAGCAGCAAGTGGAGTTCTGTGCACGCTTTCTTTTTTTTCTTTGCTTTCAAGTGGATATAAAGAAACATGTTTCCTTCCAGAAACTCTCTGGAAAGATCAGGCAAAATCGAGCCAAGTAGTATTGAAAGATTACTATATGTCGCACTGTTCTTTATTTACTGATTATGCAGCCGATTTTCCCTGAATATGACTTGACAGTAATGTAGACCAAGTCAGAAATTTAAATTGGTGAAAAACAGGCCAAGGAGTCAAGATGCAGACCATCAATCAGTCAACTCTCTCCTGGAGTTATTTAGCTAATCCTGTCCCACTGTCCCTGTAATCCTTAAAATAAAGCATCCTTCAAATGCTTATCCAATTTCCCTTTGGAAGTCACAATTAAATAATTCTCTCGGAGGGAATTAAAGCTGTGCAGTTCTTTACTACAGAGGGCTGTTGAGGTTGGGTTGTTATGTATACTCAAGGCTGAGATTGGCAGATTTTTAATTAGTAAGGCAATCAAGGGTTGTGGGGAAAAGGTAGGGAAGTAGAGTTGATACCTGTGTTCTCTGGTTCTCATCTCTTTCTGATGTTAGGAATTAAACTGCTCTGCAGACCCCTTATGATCTTGAACACCTCTATCAAATCTCCTGTTAATGTTGTCCTCTTCAAGTCAAACCCTAGCTTCCCCAATCTATCCATGGAGCTGAAGCTCTTTATCTCTAAAACCGTTCTCATGAATTCCTTCCACATTTTATTCTGATACCTTCATGTCCTTCCTAAAGTGCACTGTCTAGAATTGGACGCAGTCCTCCACAGAAATGTAGCAATAGTGGTGAGTGTAGGTCATTCGGCCACCAAGCTTGCCCTGCCATTCAAGATAATCCTGGCTTATCCTCTATCAGCACCATACTCCTGCTCTCTCTGTCTATGTCTCTTGAAGACTTTAGTGCCCTAGAAATCTACATTTGGTTCTGCTTTAACACGATAGTTGCATTCCTGCACGTCGTGTTATAGAAAATTGTGCTATAGAAATGACAGGGCCTATGGGAAAAGCAGGGTGAGGGGCAGATCTCCAAAAAATATCATTCAAAATCGCTGAAAAATCACTCCGAAGCCTAACATAAAGGATAGCACAGTTTGAATAAATGTTTAGTACATATCTAATAATGAAATAAAAGTAAATTTAAAACCTTACCTTGGAAAAAAATGTCAATGTTGATGGGAGAGGAGGTTGTCAATGCAGGAGCTGGGGAACATCATCATCAAGGGGCAGCACGGTGGCTCAGTGGTTAGCGCTGCTGCCTCACAGCGCCAGAGACCCGGGTTCAATGCCACCCTCAGGTGATGACTGTCTGTGTGGAGTTTGCACATTCTCCCCATGTCTGTGTGGGTTTCCTCTGGGTGCTTCGGTTTCCTCCCACAGTCCAAAGATGTGCAGGTTAGGGTGGATTGGCCGTGCTAAATTGCCCTGTAGTGTTCAGGGATGTGTAGATTAGATGGGTTATAGGGGGATGGGTCTGGGGGAATGCTCTGATGGTCGGTATGGACTTGTTGGGCCAAAAGGCCTGTTTCCACACTGTAGGGATTCTAAGATTCTGTTGTCACCACCTTCAGGTGCAGTTGTGGTTGCAGCGTTAGAGCGAAAAGTAGTGAATCCAGAAGGGGGCGGCTGTGGTTCATTGTCTTCTGACTGTGTCTGGGGGTTTAGCTTAAAAAAGACATCCAGTTTTTGCTGCTTTGCCCTTTTTCTTCTTTCATGAAGAAGCAGTTCACAGGGTGCCAAATAAGATCTTATTCCATGAACTGCTACCCTGCTGTGTTCTGCATTGTAAACATCGTCCTCTAAGAGCTGCAACTGCTTCTCAATTTCCCTCAGGATAGAAAACAAAACAGAAGTGGAAAGCTCTCGTGGTGCTGCATCCCTGACTTCATCTCCAGCTTCCACTTCCCCCTCAGTGACAAGTTGTTGTAGATCAGCTGTAGAGAGGTCTTCACAGTGGGACTCGGGCAGCTCTTCAACATCCTCACTCTCCACTTCTTCAAATCCAACTTCCTTTGCAAGATCAACACAATCTTCTTTGATCCTTGGGAGCTCCTCTGGATCAAAGTCTTTAAAATCTTGAAAAAAATCTGGGAGTAGATTCCGCCAAACTGCATGCAAGCAGTCTTTCCTGACATCACCCCAAGCCTCCCGATAATGTCAATTGCATTCTTGATGTTAAAGCTCTTCCAAAATGGAAGAACACTGTCCTTATCCCCCTCAGTGGCTGTAATCAGCCTCTTAAATGTACACCTTAAATAATAAGCTTTAAAAGCTGCTGCTGCACCCTGGTCCATGGGTGGAAGTACAGAAGTTGTGTTTGGGGGTAGAAACAGCACTTTGATGTTTTCAGAAAGCACATCAATGGTGGGAGGACGGCTTGGCGCATTATCCAGGATGAGGAGAATCTTGAAATCCAAATTTCTTTTCCTGCAATACTTTCTAAAAACAGCTTCCAAAACATCAACAATAAGGTCAGAAAAGTTTGCCCTGTCATCCAGCCTCTTTTGTTTGATCGAAAGTCGACGCCTAGAGTAGACTCAAGGTAACCTTCCAAGGCTCACGGGTTGGCAGAGTGGTACACCACCACAGGCTTAAGGTTTAACTCTCCACTGGTTTGGCACCCAGCAGCACAGTCATATGATCCTTTGTCACCTCAAAGACTAGAGTGTGTGCTCCATTCATAGAAATATAGGCTCTTGATGACATTCGCTTCCAGGATAAATGTGTCTCATCCAAATTGAAAATTTGATCCAAGCTGTAGCGTTCTTTAGCAATTAATTTTTTTACTTTGGGAGGAAATGCCATCGTCTGCACCTTGTCTGCACTGACAGGTTCGTCACATAACTTTACATTATGAAAAGCGTAGCAGTTCTTAAAACCAGCAAACTAGCCACTGCTAGCACTAAAGGCAGGCACATCTGCAGGATTTTCAGCCTCTTTTGTTAGATCTCCATAAATTGATAAGGCTTTCTCTTTTATGTGAGAAGGGTGGTCCCAGATCGCTTTATCGTTTGATCTTCTATACATACACTTAGCTGCTCCATCTCCTCAAGTTCCTTTGTCCATGACCACACAGATTTGCTCGCACCCAGACTTGTTCTAGCAGTACAGCTTGCTTTAATCTTTTCTGCATTGTCTCTCATGGTGTGCAAGGAAGACTCCTTCATTCCTGTTACACAAATTATATCACGTGTTCTCTTATTACATTCAAAATGCTTTACAATATCCAGCATCTCTTCCAGTGTCATAGCCTTTCTTTTACATTCACCACCCACAATTTTATCACCGGGATGCTGCTTGCTAACATTCTTGTTGCTTGTCCTCATGTTTTGTGGATAACACAGCAGAATTTGCAAAACAAAAAGGAGTTGTGTAAACTCACAGCATGATGATCACATGATGCCGACATGGTCACTCTTTTGGCATTAACTTTGCATGTATTCAGGACAAAGCCCGTGAAATGCTCATGTGATGTCGATACATACTCTTCCACACACAGATGGAATTGCGTTATAGCCAACAGAAATTTACATTATACAAATACCATTCCCCAATTCGTCAGTCATGTTATAGCCAATTCATGTTGCCGGAACATGCATTATAGCAGAAACGACTGTATTCCTTTCTTTCTTGCATATCCACCAGTGACATCCCCAACCCCACCCCAGGCGACACATCATCCTTGCCCAGTAAGAATGCCTATGTTTCACTACGCACCACTCCAGTGAATATGGGCCTAGTTGGTCCAATCGTACCTGATTCGACAATCCTACCATCCAAGGAATCAGAAAGCTGTTGTGAGACAGCCTTGCCCCTATACCCCAACCTCTCTGTAATGAAGGTCAATGTACCATTAGCCTTCCTGACTGCTTGTTGCACTTGCATGTTTGCTTTCTGTGACTGGTGTATAAGGATATTGCATATTTTTTTAAGGCCAAGGTAAATAAGTTCTTGTTAGGCAGGGATAGCCAAGCCCCTCTCGGGATAGATGGGAAAGTGGAGTTCAAAGTACAATCAGATACTGAATGGCAGAGCAAACATAAAGAACCAAATGGCTTACTTCTGCTCCCTAATTCTTTTGTTTGAGAGTCATGGGATTACGTTTGCCACTTACAGTCTGCCAGGGCTGTTTGAGATCCTATAGAATTTTGGAAGTTTGAGAGCCAAACACATCCACCATCCCCATGGCCACTTGCTTTCATTGCCTGGGATGTAGCTTCTCACAGGCAGGAATTTATCATCTTTCAGTCCCATTTATTTCTCCAGCATGATTGTGTTTTGGCCAATGCTCATTTCTTTCAATTCCCGTGCATTTTTGGGAAGTTATTTGTGTGTCCTCCTATGAAAATGGAACTAAAGTAGAACAAAGGAAATTACAGCACAGGAACAGGCCCTTCAGCCCTCCAAGCCTGTGCCGATCCAGATCCTCTATCTAAACCTGTCGCCTATTTTCCAAGGATCTGTATCCTTCTGCTCCCTGCCCATTCATGTATCTATCTAGATACATCTTAAATGACACTATTATGCCCGCCTCTACCACCTCCGCTGGCAACACATTTCCAAGCACCCACCACCCTCTGCGTAAAGAACTTTCCACGCATATCTCCCTTCAACTTTTCCCCTCTCACCTTGAAATCGTGACCCCTAGAAATTGAGTCCCCCAATCTGGGGAAAAACCTTCTTGCTATCCACCCTGTCTATACCTCTCATGATTTTGTAGACCTCAATCAGGTCCCCCCTCAACTTTCTAATGTAAATAATCCTAATCTACTCAACCCCTCTTCATAGCTAGCGCCCTCCATACCAGGCAACATCCTGGTGAACCTCCTCTGCACCCTCTCCAAAGCATTCACATCCTTTTGGTAATGTGGCAACCCGAACTGTACGCAGTATTCCAAATGTGGTCGAACCAAAGTCCTATACAACAATTTGCAAGTAATTGTTTAAATGTTCTGCCAGTTCAGGCTGAACCAGTGTTCTCTAAAGATTTCCCAAGATTTGCTTGCTTTTTCACTCTTCTTCTCATTTTGAACTTTAATTGTCTCTTTTTCCTCATGTTTTGACTGATTGTGTTCTCTAACAGAAAATGATAATGAAACTGGAGGTTCTGAAACAGACGAGTTCAGAGAATCAGTTGCCACGGTCACACCACACACAACAGCAATGAGGGTTTTATGTGAGAAAGCAGATGGCCATGGTTCATCTGTGGTCAAATACAGAGTCACTGCAACACCTCAAGTACACCGGTAAGGATTTAAACCTGTTTGTTAAGCTGTTTTACTTTTAAAACTGAGATGGAAGAGGCAATTCATTTAAATTTGCTGAAATAGCGTGCAAATGGTGTTGTACAAAGATTCCTTTAATTAGGGTATGGGGGTGGGTCTGGGTGGGATGCTCTTCAGAGGGTAGGTGTTGACCCGATGGGTTGAATGTCCAGCTTCCATTTCTTAGGGATTCTATGATCTGATTTTATCTCAGCCTCAACTCCACTTTCCCAAACATTCTCTGTAGACCTTCAACCCGTCACTAATTAAAAGTCTGTCTACCCTCCTTAAATTTACTCAGTGTCCTGGCATGCACTGCACTCTGAGGGAGTGCATTTCACAGATTCACGACACTTTGAGAGAAGTAATTCCTCCTCATCTCTGTTTTAAATCTGTTACCCCTTATCCTAAATCTATATGCCCTCCCATTCTAGATTGTTCCACATGAGGAAATGTGCTCTCTGTGTCTCCTTTATCAATCCTGTTTAGCATCTTCTGCAAGTTGTTCAGTTCAAAGGCAATTAGAGGTGGGCAACAAATGCTGGAACAGCCAGTGGCACCCATATCCCATGAAAGAATTTTTTTAAAAATTAGACCTCCTCTCATTCTTATAAACTCCAGAGAGTTTATAATCTGCTGAACCTCTCTTCATCCTCTGGACTGTCTCCAATGCAACTACATCCCTACTCAAAGGGAGCCAAAACTGCACACAATATTCCAGGTGCGGTCTCACTAATACGTGTACAGTTTCAGCAACTCTTCCCTACTTTTATACTCCATTCCTTTAGCAATAAAGGGCAAAATTCCATTTGCCTTCCTTATGCAAACATGTTTTCTGTGATTCATGCACGAGGACACCCAGATCCCTCTGCACTAAAGCACTCTGAAGTTTCTCTCCCCTTTTAGATAACAAATGACATACTATTCTGTTTTATACTTCTCTGAATTTTGCCTACAATCTGCCTTTTTATCTCTTCCTCTCTCTCTGACTGTTTGGGGTTCAGCAGTCAAAAGTGTGATTGCCTCCTTTTTATTTTAAATCCTACCTACAATTGAGGAGTTTCCTAAGATAGCATCCCTCCTTGTTTCAGTAATTGACTCCTTGTTCAATATTGCAACACCTACTCTTTACACCCCTTCCTGTCTCGCCTGACGATTCTATATCCCAGAATATTGAACTACTAGTCCTATCCCTCCCTTGACCATAGCTCTGTGTCAATTATGTCACATCCCCCATGTTGATCAGCATCCTCAACCTATCTGCCTTCTCCAAGACTCCTTGCCTTCAATAAATATCATGCAACCTTGCTGAGCTCCTTCATGTCTTAATTGACTGTATTCGCTCTACCTGCCAGACTGGCTTGGCTTTTCTTTTAAATTTGCCTGTTCATCACCCAATATTGTACCTCCATTCTGTATCTCATTCCCCTGCAAAATTAGGTTTGGTCTGCTTCCCAGCTCCTAAATTCTTGTTGCAGGACCTCATCCCTCTTTCAACTTGTGTAGTTGGTCCCACTGTGAACTATGACCTCTGACATTCCTGACCCTGGCCACAAGGAGATAACACATCGTCTTGTTTGTCTCCAGCTTTCAAAAAGCCTGTCTGCATCTTCACAATTCAGTCTTCCATTACCATTGTTCTTCCCCATCGGTCTGCTCCCCTCTAGGTTCAATGGACTCTGGTTGCAATTCCCAGAGGAGCCAACACTCACCATTTTCCAACACACAAAAGCTGTTCTTGAGTGTGTTTTTCTCTAGAGCTTTTCTGACTGCATATCTGCTACCCCTCCTGACTGATGGTTACCCATTACCTTTTGGACTACACTTCCTTTAGCTGTAAGCTGACCACATCTTAAAAACATGCCACCAGCCTCAGCAAAAAAACATTGATTTCTCATTCTTCCAAGCAAGCGTATGCTTTTCATGTTTAATCTGAAAATGCAAAATGAAAATTCTGCTTAGCACTCCTGAGACACACTGTCTCTCACTGGTTTTTCAAAAATATCATGTCTCCAGAAATACCAACCAGTTAATCATTAAAACTCTCAAATGCACAGACCAAAACATACATGCCATTAGTTCAAAATCCAAGATTATGGCTTGAGTGATTGTAACCTTAACAGCATGTTCTTGCTTGACCCCATAAAATTCTCAACTTCACTGCGAATCGAGGATCTGTTTAACTCAGCCCAGAAGATATCGATGATCCACGGATCTCTGGGAAGAGTTCCACAGCTGAACATTCCACTGAGCAACAGAAATAGCTACTCATCTTCATCTTAAATCAGAGCTTTCATTTCTAATATGCCTCACAGTTCTAGACTCCCCACCAAGAGAAACATTCTCTCAGCATCTATCCTGTAAGTCCTTCAGGACTTTTTTGTGTTTCAGTAAAATCACCTTTTGTTCCAAAGGCATGGGCCAAACCTGCTCAACCTCTCCTCAGATAACAAGGTGTAGAGCTGGATGAACACAGCAGGCCAAGCAGCATCAGGGGAGCAGGAAAGCTGACGTTTTGGACTAGACATTCAGAAGGGTCTAGGGTCAACCTCTAATATAGACAAACTGCCTCAGTCCAGCAATCAGCCATGTGAATCTTCTCTGAGCTGCCTCAATTGCAATTATATCCTTTACGTTAGACCAAAAGTGTATGCATTACTCGAGGTATGGTCTTACCAGTGCCCTGTACATTTGTAGCAAACCTTCTGTACTTATACACTTCATCTCCCTGGAAATATTGGCCCTGACTGACCAGCATCACAGATTAAAGATCATGTGGTTATTTATGACATTGTTTTTGGGATACTGCTGTTTGCAAACAGTTATTAAAAATATCCTGAAGTTGTGAAAGGCACAATCAGTGTTGTCATCCCTTGGTTGAGGTAGTGTGTTTCCAAACCCATGTGTTCTAACCTGCTCCAGTCTTGGATATACACCAGTTGTGACATGTTTCTTGGACATCAGTGGGAGACAATTAGCTGGTTTGTGACGCAGAGCGACGCTAACAGTGTGAGTTCAATTCACATGCCAGCTGAGGTTACCATGAAGGACTGTTCTCCTCAACTTCTCCCCTTGGCTGGTGACTCCCTTTGAGATAATCTTGGAAATTTAAATTTTTAAAATGCTACTGTCTTCCCAGAGGGAAAGAAGCTGCAGACCGAATCCGGTCAGTTGGTAAACAAGACGTGAAGTTCCTCACCCCGGTTCGCCGATCTGTACGCATTGAACACGCGTCTGCTTCCTATCCTGAGATGCTGAAAGAGCATGACTGCTGTGTAACCTCGCTGAATGAGCTCCTCGCTGTGGAAGAGACCGAAACATTTGTTTATCAAGAAAACCAGGCTTTGCTGAAAGAATGAACAAGATTTAAAGGACTTGTATATGCACTTACAGCATTTCCAGCCTTCTGTTATAAATAAGCTTTTTATAACTACTAAGAATTAATAATGTACAGAATAAACTTATTTTAGTCATTTAAAATTGTAAAACTTGGCTATATCCATATCTCTAACATCCCATGTATATTGTTAACAAACACTATCATTCAACAAATGCAAATTCTGATCTGTTGGAAAGATTTTTTTTGCTGTAATATTAATCTTGCACTCCAACAATAAAAGTCTTTCTGCCTGTACTTGTCACTCATATCTTGTTCTCTCTCCCCACCTTCTAGTCTCATCAGATGATTTACTGAGTTTTAAACACTTCAATTTGATTCTTCCAGCAGCCTCTGTAATTGTGCTTTCTCCTACCCTTTGTACTTGTACACTAGCCAGTCTCTTCACCTTCCAAAGGAGTAAAACCGCTCATTGGTCACAGTGTGCTGACTAACAATTGACTAACGATTCTGTGCTGGCATGAAAGCTGGTATTGCTGATATCTAACTGGAAAAAAAATGCTGTGACTCATTCATGACTGGTCAGGCAACGTATAGGCAGTGGAGGAATCATTGAAGATGGTGGCAAGTCAGACTGAGGTGTCATCATCAATTAAATACAAGAAGACTGATATTAAAACATGCAGATTGTTACACTGAAAGAATGGAAGGTCTTTGTTGATGCAGATCTGGCTACATTTTGGTAGACAGCAGTAAAAATGAAAACACAGCCCCACTATTAATTTTCCTCCGTAATTGGGAGAGGGAGGACAGTGAAGACTACGTCAGTGACTACAGTGGACTTAATAACTGGGCTTCCGCAGCTCTCCGGGGTTGAGAATTCCAATGATTCAACTATCTCATGACAGTCCTAAATTATCTATTCTGAGTTTGTACCCTCATTCGAGCCCAAACAGCTGGGGAAGTGTCCTCTCTAAACCTATTGTCCATCCCTTAAGAAATTTGTAAGTTTGCAGGTCGTTCTTCGAGATCCCAGAGAATATAGGTCCAGTCTTCTCATTACAGCACTCCAAACATTCCAGGAATCAGTCCGGTGAGCTTCTGTGGCACTCCCTCTGTCCTTCCTTAGGCAAGGGCACCAGAACTGTACACAATACTCCAGGCATGGTCTAGTGTGCTATACCATTGAAGCAAGGCATCTATGCTCTTGCACTCGTATGGTAAAAGTGAGTATAACATTTGTCTTGCAAAGTGTTTGCTCTACCTGTGTGGTCACTCTCAGTTACTCATGAATGAGGCCTGGTCTACCCAGGACTGTAAGAAACTACAGAAGGTGGCGTGCACAGCCCAGACCATCACGGAAGCCAACCTTCCATCTATGGACTCCATTTACACGGCTCGCTGCCATGAAAGGCTGCCAACATCATCAAAGACCCATCCCACCTGGTAATGCTCTCATACAACCCCTTCCGTCAGGCAGAATATTCAGAAGCTTGAAAACACACACCAGCAGGTTCAGGAACAGCTTCTTTCTGGCCGTTATTAGACTGATGAATGGACTCTCTAACTTCAAATAATGCTGATCTTGCTAATGTTAATCTTGTCCAACACACACCTTGTGTGAGATAACCTGTATGCCTCTGTCCAACTTTTTCCCACATTATGATCTGTATGTCTTTGCTTACGATGATCTGACTGTACTGCTCGTAAACAAAGCTTTTCACTGTACTTAGGTACACGTGACAATAAATCAATCATTCAGTCCCTTGATTCTGTCCCCATCAAACACTCCCAGGGCACGGACAGCATGGGGTTAAATGCTGAATGAAATGAAAATAAAGTTCTCTACCTGTCCCATCAAACACTGCCAGAGCAGGAACTTTCAAGGTCTTTCCCTATAGTACATTCTTCTGTCTTTGTAAATCTTTGCCTTTTGCATACCTGAAGAAGCTCTTACCGTGTGTTTTTTTTTCTGTTTCTTGCTAATTTACATTAGTATTTTGTTCTCTTTCCTTGTTCTTTGCTAAAGAGTGTAGAATCACACATCATAGTCACAGACAACGTTGCGACTTTGCTAAGTCAGGAGTGGAAACAAATTGTCATGAGGGAAGTTGGCTACTGATATTACAAAGGAAAGGCCAGGAGGCAGAACAACTGTTTGGAGATAAGAGTGAGAAAGATCTTGACAATGAGTTAGAAGTACTGGAAGACCTTGGTGATTAGCTTCAGTTCAATGTGTTAGTGAGGTGAGCTTATCACTGCCTCATATAGAGGAACAAGACCACTCGGCCTTTCGATTCAATAAGATCGTGGGCTGATCTGATTTTAACCTCAACTCTACCTTCCTGCATATTCCCCGATAATCTTTCATCCCCCTAGTCATCAAGAATCTATCTTCGCCTGCCTTAAAAAGGTTGAAAGATTCTTCACCTGCTGCCTCTGAAGGAAGGTTATCCCAAAGACTCAACTCACTGAGAAGAAAAAAAGTGAGCTGGTGTCACGGAGAGGGTGCAAGACGGGCTTTTAAAGGTGGCATACATAGGTATCTGCAGAGTGGAAGGTCAAGCCAGGAAGGGCGGTGAAATGGGGTACAGAGAGAGAGAGAGAGACACCACATAGGGAATGAATGAGTTTGATGAGATAGGCTTTGACCCGAGAATCCCTCCAGCTCAGACTCAGCCAGAAAGATTCAGCCCATGGTGAAACTGAATAAATCTTTGACACTTGTAAAGTCTCTTTCATTTCAGAGTGCTGCTTGGTTTTCTCAAGCCGGTTATTGCTTGCTGACAGATGGTTACAGGATTGAAAGGTGCTTCTGGAGTAGAGCTCAGGTTGTTTCTGGAATGCTAGTGCCTTGTTTTCAAATCCTGTTATGTTCCACATTTCAAACACTTAATCTGGATCCATGCTCTTGTTAGTTCAGCTAACTTGGACGGTTGGATTGTGAAGCAGAGCGTGAGTTGGGCTTTGGGCTTAATTCACGCACCGGCTAGGTTACCCTGAAGGACTCTCCTTCTCAACCTCTCCCCTCACCTGAGGCATGGCGACACCTCAGGTTAAACCACTCCTCCAGTCGTCTCTCTCCAATGAGAGAGCAGCCCTATGGTCTGGTAAGATTATGGCGACTTGATTTCTCTTGAAGGGATCAGGAAGGGCTGGCCTGGATTTGAAGCAAGAACTGGGACCAGGCGTAGGCCATTCAATATTGTCATGGCTGATCTCATGTCGGCGTCCACTCCACTTTTCTGCCTGCACCCTTAAACCCATTACCTGATTAAAAATCTATCTCCCCCTTAAATTTAGCTGGCTGACCTCATTACAATCAGTGTGGAGGCACAGGATGTGTGAGGAAGGGCTCAGAACCCAACTGCAGCAAAAGATTTTTAAAAGTTTTAGGAGATCACAGGGTGCAGGAAAAGACTGATTTCCCCAAAAATATCTCGATGAATTGAATCTTGGAGTTCCCCTGCAGTCTGAGGAGGGTTTTCTGTTTTATAGATTGTGAGAACACACAGGAAGTCTTTTCACCGGTATCTGGGGATTTTTGTCTGAGCTGGAAACAAACAGGATGAAGTATTGGTGCCAATCGTCTGGTACACCGTAACTGGATAACACGGCTTGCAAGCAGAGACAACATCACGCTTTGTTGCTATCAAAACACATCAGTTCACAGGGATTGTCAGGCTATTTACAGCACGTGGACTGCAGCAGTTTAAGAAGGCAGCTCACCACCACATTCTCAAGAGGGCAGCCAGGGACAGACAATAAATTCTGGGCCCAGCCGGCAAAACTCAAATCGCACAAAAAAAACAAATCAAGTGCTCTGCTGAATAGCAATATTTCGAATGAAAGCAGTGCAATAAATTTGGAAAATTATGTGTGTACAAAGTAAGGCTCATTTAATGAGCAATCTGATCATCTCAGAAGTCAAGAAATAGGTTGAGATCTGAATCCAGCTACATTAAGCAACTTTGAAATAATACTGTCAAGGGTGCGTGCTACAACTGTGTGGAAATTGCTAATGTCTATGCAATTTGTCACTAATTAGCTGTTTAGAGACCAGAATGCTTTTACTTCCGCAATGTCAGTGACTCAAAACAAAATGAGGATTGAAAAACTGCAGATGTAAAGATTCCTAGAAATCTACTTTGTGGTGTCTAGAATTGAAATGTCAGCAACCAAATGTTAATGCAGACACTTTTCTAATACAAAGAAGATGTGATTTCTGAACCCACTGTGCGTCACAAGGTGAAAAGAATAAAGAACAAAGAAAGTTCACTGCAAACATTTTAATAGCAGGGATATTATGCTGAAAACTGTATATAAAACATCAGTTAAGCCACACAGCAAGAGAACTGTGTGCAGTTCTGGAACCCACATTACAGGAGGGATGTGATAGCACTGGGAGAGGAGGCAGAGGGAGATTTACCAGGATGTTGCCTTGTGGGGGCTGGAGAGTTTCAGTTCTTGAAAGGAGATTGGGACAGAGTGAGGGGTTGTTTTCCTTAGAGCAGAGGAGATTGAGAGGGGACATGATTGAGATGGATAAAATGATGAGGGGTGGAGATAGGATAGACAGGAAGGAACTTTTCCCCTTGATCAGTGATTGGGAGCATAGATTTAAGGGAAAGGGCAGGAGGTTTAGAGGGGACGTGAAGAAAAATATGTCCCCCCTTCCCCCAGAGGCTGGTGGGAATCTGGAACTCACCGCCTGTAAGGCTGGGAGAGGCAGAAACCCTCATCACAAGTCTATGGACACAGTAAAGTACATTTTCAGCGCAATGTGAGCTAGTTTAGTACCAGGACATGATGGGGTATAATCCCTTCCCTTGGGATGGTGAAACTGTACAAGCCATCTCTGGTTCCCCACAAACTCACACATAGACTTGGTTTGGAATAGGCAAGAAGCTAGAACTGATCATTTGGAAACTGAAACCTCCAGTGAGTTTCTAGTGTGTCCTGCATCTTTGGAGGAACTCGCTGGCAAATCTGGAACACTGTGCACATCTTTGATCTCCTTACGTAAGGAGGGATACATTTGTACCAAAGGCTGGTCAAAAAAAGGCTCAATACCTTCATTCGATAGATGGAGGAGGCTGTCTTTTGAGCCAAGGTTGACCAATGTGGGCCTTTTCCCATTAGAAGAATGAGAGGTAACCTCCTCGAAAGATATTAGATTTAAAAAAGGCACGAGGGGCAATCTTTTTACACAAAGGGTGGTTTGCGTGCGGTATGAACTTCCTGAGGAAGTGGTAGATGTGGGCACAATTACAACGTTTAAAGGACATTTGGATATG